CATGCTCCAATCTGTTACAATTTAAGAAATGCTCTGCACATCTTTTTCTCTGAAGTGGATAACCTCATGTTTTTTCACTTTATATTCCATTTGCCATGTTCTTGGTCATTCATTAAGTCTGTCCAAATCCTCCTGAAGCTGCTTTACATCTTCTTCACAATGTACATTCCCACTAAGCTGCGTATCATCCACAAATCTGGAAGTTTGCATTTGATCCACAACTCCAAATTGTTGACAAACATTATAAACAACTGGGGCCAAATATTGATCCTTGTGGCTCCTCATGAGTTGCAGCCTACCAACGCGAGACCCATTTATTGTTTTTTGTCTGTTACAGCAATAATCTATGCCAGTACATTTCCTCTTATCCTATGTGTTTTAACCTTTTTTAATCAGCCACCTGTGGAAGACATTATCAAAAGCCTTTTTAAAACCTAAGTACACCATGTCTACCAGCTCTCCTTTATCAATTTTGTCAGTAACATCTTCAAAATATGTCTGTTTATCCCATCTTTTATAATAGATCCTAGCATTTTCCCTCTGACTGATGTAGAGCTAGCTCCATTTTCTCTCTCAATACATTATACAATGGAGTGGAGTGACATTTGCTACCTTTCGATCTACAAGAATCATTGCAGTATCTACACAACGTTGGAAGATAATCACCAATGCAACAAATATCCCAAAAGGTACCTCCTTGAACATTCAGGAATGAAGACCACCAGGTATTGGGAAATTATCAACTTTCAGCCCCAATAATTTCTCTAGTACAATCTTCTTACTAATGCTAACTTGCTTCAACATTTCATTCTCCCTAGCCACTTGGATCTCTACTTTTGCTATACTTGTGGTATCTTCTCAGTGAAAACAACACAAAGTAATCATTTAGCCTCATTGCCATTTCTCTATTTCCCATTAAAAGTGCTGCTGACTCGGCCTTTACTGGAACCACATTCGTTTTAGCCAAATGTTTCCTTTTACATGCCTACAAAGGCTTTTACAGTCCTTTTTTAATCTTTTGCTAGATTTCTTTTTTAATCTTTTGCTGGCATTCATGTTCTAATCTCCCTTTCCTTAATAGCTTCCTGGTCTGCTTTGTTGTATTCTACAAACCTTCCAATCCTCAGAATTACAGCTATTTCTGGTAACCTTACAGACTTTTTCTTTTAATCTTATGCAATCCTGAACTTACTTTGTTGGCCACATTTGATTGACCATTTTTGAGTTATTGCAACTTGAAGAAATGTTCCATTGCCATAAGTCAAGCAATGGATCTTTAATGTCTACCCATTGCCTATGTACAGTCATACCTTTTAATGTATTTTTCAAGTCCACCTCAATCATTTTGTGTCTCACGCCTTCATAATTTTCCTTATTCAAACTGGACTCCTTTGCTTCAGAATGAACTACTGCACTTTCAAAACATAACATAAAATGCTATCATATCGTGGTCACTCATCATCTTTCACAGCAAGAGCCCTAATTAGCCCTTTTTGTTGTTACATAATACTAGATCTAAAACAGCATCTAATCTTGTTGGCTCATCCTAACACAATCCAGAAACTCATTCTCCACAGCTTTAGTGCTCAGTTTGTTTACCCAGTCAATTTCAGATTGAACTCACCCATGATAACTGTTATGTCCATGCTGTAAACTTCTCTCATTTTCTGACTAATATCATGCCCCACGCAATCACCACAATCTGATTGTTAATAAATAGCTCCAACCAATCTCTGCTGTCATTTGCTGTTTCTTAATGCCACCCAAGAAATTTCACACATTTTTCAGAAATTGCTGCAGAAACTCAGCAGGCCTGGCATCTTCTGTGGAGAGAAATCAGATTTAATGTTTTGGATCCCGTTTTAAAGAAGGATCACTGGACCTGAAACATTACCTCTACTTTCTCTCCAAGACACTGCCAGACCTGCTGAGTTTTGCCAGCAATTTCTGTTTATGTTTTTGATTTCCAGCATCTGTTTAGTGTCCACACATTCTTCTTCTGATCAGAGATCCTCTCTTATTAATACACTGATCCCATCCCATATCATCAGTGCAACTCCACCTCCTTTTCCTTCTTAAGCAACAAATATCTTTGAAACATTCCAAGTCCTGATCATCATGCAGGCACAGTCCTGTAATGGCAATTAGATCAGACCCACATTTGTGCCTTCAGATTGTCCACCTTGCTGTCAATGCTACATGCATTCAGGTACACAGCTCTTTACTTTGTCTTTTTGACATTATTCCCTTTTTGAAGCATACTCGATGCATGGCTTTGTTTGCCCCTCCTTCCAGTCTCCTTAGCATCTTTACCAACTTACCTAACATCATGGTGCACGTAGCTACAGCTAATAAAGCCCAGTGGTTCAAGAAGGCAGCTCTCTACTGCTGTCTCCAGAGCAATTAGAGATTGGCGATAAATGTTGGGCCCAGTCAGGAAAGCCAACCTCCCCTAAATGGATATGAAAAGCCCTGCAAGCCTTCTTTCAGGATGTGAAAGTTGACTGGATTTCCTCGCAAGCAGGCAGTCAATTGGTTGCCGGCCTGTTTTCAATTCGTATCAATGACAGAATGACAAAGTTGAGGCTGCTGAGAGCTGGCCTATCAGTGCCTGGCAACTCCAGAACTTGGTGGTGCTAAGGAGGCGGCCATGCTTGCTACTAGTACAATAGCTCCCAGACTTTTAGGTTAGAAGGTCACCTGCAGAAAAGGTAGGTGCCAGTTGGGGAAGGGGAAGTAAAGGTTTTTGTTTATTTCATGCAACATGGATCTCATTGGCAAGGCCAGCATTTGCCACTCATTCCTCATTGCCTTTGACTATGTTACCTTTTCAGAGGGCAGTCAAGTGTTAACTACATTGCTGCAGGTCTGAAGTCACATATAGGCCACACCAGATAAGAAGAACAGATTTCTTTCTGTAAAGGACAATAGTGAACTAGTTTTTATGAGAATTGATAACAATTCTCACAGTCACCATTAATGGCACTAGCTTTACAGTCTCATTGTATTAGTTAATTGACTTTAAATTCCACCAGCTACTATGGTGAGATTTGAACTGGTGACCCAGTGAAATAGGAACAAAAACAGAAGTTTTGCTGGAAAAACTCAGCAGGTCTGGCAGCATCTGTGAAGAAGAAAATCAGAGTTAACGTTTCCGGTCGGGTGACCCTTCCTCAGAACCTGTGAATTAGTCTGGGTTTCTGGATGCATAGTCCAGTCACAGTATCATTATGCCACCATCTCCCTAAGCTAAAGAGGTGAGGGTTTCAACGGAGGACGGCTCTCAGGAGTCACCGCTCTGCCTTACTTCCAGACTCTTGGTTGGGCACAGATCAAACGATCCATCTGTGTACCCACAGCCTGCTCTCACGGATGATCCAGCGTGTGCACTAATTCGTTCTTGACCCAGCTAGACTTAAAACAATTGTGGCCGAGATGGGAAAAGGCCCCAAAGTGATTATCAAACCTCATCATGGACTTCCAAAACCCCGCAGCACCATACCAAAATGGCTTTCAGCTCCTGCTTCGAAATGACTAACCTGACTTCAGCAGAAGCAGGTTCCACACGAGGCGTTTCGGATCCACAATAAAAATGGGCAGAGCAAAATGGTGCAAGGTCGGGAGTGCAGATAAGTTTCAGGTTTCTTCCAAATCAAAACTAAATTGCGGCCACTCACACACTGAAACTTGTCTCTGCATCCTATGGTCTGACAGAAGTCACCCACTGAAGGCCTGCACATATCATATATAGATTATATTTGGTAGGGATCTCATGATGCAGTGGTAGTGTCCCTATCTCTGAGCCAGGAAGCCCAAGTTCGAGTCCTACCAGCACCAGTGGTGTTTCATAATATCTCTGAACAGGACTATGATCATGAGCTGGGAAATGTGATTACAATAATTAAATGCTTGGTTTTAACTGGCACAGAGTTGATAGATCAAAGGGCCTTTCTCTGTGCTATAGACCTCTGTGATTCTGAACAGGTTGGTTAGAAAATAAGCGCACAGCCAGAAAACTGTTCACCGCTCTCCAACCTTCAGTATCCAATTCAAAGAGAGTTTGATCCTTTCTCAGGTTAAATGTTTCCCCATGAAGCTTGGAGACCGTTCAGTGGATGCCTGGCAGGTCTCAGAGTTTGCCTTGCAGTCACTCTGTGACAGAAATTTCAAACAGCTCCCAGCCCAATACTGGGAAATTGTATTGACATTCTCCCTTTAGTCAGTGTCACAATTTCTGCACATGGCAATGTTGGATGTGTAGCAGAGTATCCCCAGAGTATTTGGTTGACTTTCAATTGAGGCTGCCAGGGCAGTCAAAAAACAAAATGACCACTGGGGGGCACCATTTAAATGGAGGCAAAATCTAAAACCAACAGCACCACTAACTATATCCGATTGTGAAACCGAATGAGCAACAAACATTACCCATTAACTAGACTCTGGCTTAGAACTCAGGACATGAATAAAAGGAGAGTGTTCACTGAAGTTTGGTCTGAGGTTTTCAAGATGGTTTTAAGTATGATCACTAACGACTTGCACATCCGTGTGTTGTACTTACTATCTGGACATTGAGGAACCTCTGTAGACCCATGCACTGTGCTATTTTAACTTATGGTAATGAATATTAAACCTCAAGCTTGGAAGCTGTGCATGTAGCTCTGATGTACCCAACTGCCAGAAAGTCATTGATATAAAACGTAAAATAATGTAGGTCTATGTGTAAATGGAAATGGTGTTTCGATAACAACCTGTACCTGAAATGTAAACCTGTTTGTTTTCTATTCAGGTTTTGGAGTCCTGCTGTGCGTTTTGACATTTTTTTTAAAGGAGTTACTCATGTTTTTCTTATGTTTGAAATCACAGCTGGCCACAGTTACCTGTATTATCTTCCCCCTGCTTACAAACATCTAAATCGCTGAAGATTTGGTATCAAATCCATGTTCCTTTCCCCAACTAACAAAACTTTCCAGACACATCATATTGTAAGTGGTTGCAGTTACCTCTAGAGAGATTAGCGTGGCTTGGTGCAAAGCTTTGCGAGACATGTCTTCAGGAGAAGCAATTCCATCCACATAGGTCAGGCCTTTTCGACAAAAAAGGTCCTTCTTTTCCAAATGGGAAGTTCCCTTCGAGCTGGGAGATCTGGTGTGTAGTCCGGTTTCAGTATCAGTAGGCAGCAACTCCTCTTGTTCCAGTAGTGGCCCAAAGCCGTCCTTGAAAGCATCACTGAGTGTGGTTTCCCATATTATTGCTTTGTTCCTTTTCGTAAATGAAAAAAATGTCACTAGCCGATTGAAGCTTAGGAAAACTCAATAACAATGATATATGAAGCACTCAATATTAAAGGCGCTGTATTAAAGGGGTGCAGTGTTGCATCAAATTCCATTAAAACGGTCATTGATAAGAAATGGATAATTACTCTCAATGCCTTTAGCAGGAGATGGACACCACAGGGGGTGGAATGCTAAATCTCCCCCTTCCAACTCAATTTTGATTTAGCCCCCTACCTTTCTCCCTCTCCTATGATGGTTTGCATCGCCTGGAATGACCGTTAAATGTAAATTATTCAATTGGAGTTGTGGGTGATTTACTAGTGGTGGTTAATACATGAAAAAAAGTACACTATGGGTTTGGTGATGGGAAAGAAAAATATTCAGTTGCGTCTAAGAGTACTTCTGAATATAAAAAATAGGGGCATTAACCTAATCAAAATGGCTCCTACTCACGGTTCTGGTGTTTTACTGCTGCATTTGTCCAGATTGTCTTTGGAAGTCTTTATCCCTCCTTCTTGGATTAGGTCCATCATTCGCATCTCCTGAGCATGTGCAGTAGGGGGTAGCTGAGGAGTCTCGGGGTTTTCCCTCATTCTCTCAAGGCTGAGTGACAGAGGTAAATCCTTAATGTTTTTACATCTGGAAAGCAGGAAGGAGACATGTTGTTTACGGGGAGAAGTGGGGAGGGCAAAGTTGCAAAGCCTTGAATTGAACTTCAGGACTCAGAATCTTGAACAGCAGGAAAGCACAAGCGAGTGAATGTTATCTCAGCATCGGGGGTTGACCACTACTGTTTTCTTATGCAAGTCGGTATCTGTTTGTGCTATGGTAAAGATTCCAGAGCAGACAAGGCACAACATCACAATGTACAAGTACCTGCCTTGCCTTCAGTCTCTGTGTAATGAAGACAGTATACAGCAACATCAGTAATCCTAGACAGAAAATGTACATAAGTCTGTGATCATAGAATTTCTACAGTGTGGAAACAGGCCAATTGGCCCAACAAGTCTACACTGCCCCTCCGAAGAGCATCCCACCTAGACCACCCCTGTACCCTTTCCCTGTAACCCTGCATTTCCCATGGCCAATCCATCTAACTTACACACCCCTGGACACTACGGGCAAGTTAGCATGGCCAATCCACCTAACCAGCACATCTTTGGACTGTGGGAGGAAACCGGAGCACCCAGAGGAAACCCACGCAGACGCAGGGAAAACGTGCAAATTCCACACAGACAAGCACCCCAGGGTGGGATCGAACGCGGGTCCCTGGCACTGTGAGGCAGAAGTGCTAACCACTGAGCCATGGTGCCGCCCCTGATGTTCCTGTCTTGTAAACAGTAGAGGTATAAACTCCAAGGTATCTGACTTAACAGAACCTGACCATCTATGGTACACATTACATATACAGAAAATTACAAACGGCTTCAGTATCTGCAATCCCCACAACATACTGCAGCAACTCTTCAGGTCACTGCTTTTAATGACTTAGAATGATAAAGCCACTTTAAGAATACCAATCTCTAACATTATATTGATTGGACAGCAGATTTTTGAAATATTAAGTGCTCTTTTCAAAAATATTAGGCACAAATAAGAGATCCCCATTCTTTTTTAGGAATGTTCTCTCATGTATATTTCCCCATTGGGTAATACAGGAGAAGTGGTGGTAAGGTTCCAGCGCATGGGAATAGAGTACACAATTACACCTATACTCGGTATGCCTGGGCCTTGGAGGTTAAAATGGGGAGATGAAGGTTTAAGTAGTTGGGTAGGATGGGGATTTGAGCAAATTCAGAGCATGTGGGGTTAATGCACAGGGCTGCCAAGTGAGGAGTATGTACATTCGAGGGTTCACCAAGCCTAAGAGGCTGAGCCTGAGATTCACTGTGAAGAGTGACTGCTGTGTCATGTGGGAAATAGCACGTGTGCAATGGCTGCTATCACAACTGGGCGGGGGGTAACTATTTTGCTCTGAGAGTGGGGGAGCTTCAATTTTTGGGCGATGTGAGATTGTTCAAAGGGCAATACCTACAAGCACATTCTATATAAAGCTTAGGCATTAACCTCCTGTGTGCAGACCAATTCCTTGCCCCCTGCATCTTTGACCACAGGGGATCCTCCCCTGGCTGGATGTCTACTAACACTGCTCTGTCTCCTTCGGAGGAAGGGTCAGCTGGAATGAGCTCAAGGTCCACCATCCCCCTGTTGCCTTGCTGTTGTTTAGAGCAATAAATCACAGGTCCATGTGTATTCCAGCAGTCCCTGAGACCGGTGGAGGTGGCTCTCCATGGCAGACACCAACCTGTCCAAGGAGATTGCAAGTCTGAGGCAGCAGGGTCCCAAATGCATTGCTGCAACCCTTGTGCCCCCACCGAAGGTGCCTCCTGCTCCTGGATCATTGTGTGCATTCATATAAAGTTGAATAATGTGTGACACCACGGGGTCCTCTCTCCTGTCTGGGCTGGAGCAGGTTCCTGGTCAATGCCAGTCCTCTCTACCTCAGCCAGCTGCAACGACGTGGCAGCGATGTCTGCACTAGCATGTGTCCCGACTCTAATCTCACAACCATACACCTTGAGGTGTCCATCTCTGGGCTGGTGGAGGTGGGGGGGAATGCAAGAAGCAGCCTTGCTGCTACTTCCTTGGTGACATCTGTACTCCCTTCCTCCTTGACTGAGGAAGCCATGTCTAGCAGTGCCACCCTCTGGTAATGACACTCGTACCAGCACGAGATAAAAGAGCCAATGCATCATGAACAAGTGACACATTAAGAATACACCAGTGAGGGTAATGGGGGAGTACACAGCAGTGGACAATGCTTCTTACTTGGTTGGCAAGACATGGATATTTCTGCATCTCTATGCACACTGATTCTTCCCTCACCCACTGTCATCCATCACTGTTAATGAAGGTGCAGATGGGAAAAAGGGATGAGACATCCCAAGTGAGTGAATAGGCAGCGGGGAGGCTATACAGAGTCAGATGGATGAGACTTTGGGATGGATGACAGTGGGTGAGGGAAGAATCAGTGTGCAATAGTGAGTATGGGAGAGTCTTGGTGGGAGGTGGGTGCAGTGGTAAAGTCAGAGTGAGTTTAAGGCAGCGGAGAAAAATTGGTGACACTTATCCTGGCAGAGACAGAGTGGTTGCATGACCTCCTTGCAGCATTGCTGCGTAGTTCATAGTTGAGATTGCACTGACCTGGGTGGCACCTCAGGTCAAGCTGGCAGCGTTTGGTGTGGTGTCCTGGGGGAAATCAGGACAGCCTTACACTGTATCAGCCCATCCCCCCAGGATCTCCAGGTCTCTGTCCACAAAGCATGGTGCCAACCTTCTTTGTCTACCCTGTCTGTAGCCAATGTATTGAACCATGCCAGGCAGCTCTGGACTGCCAACCACTTGACCGGATGCACGATGGGCTTTTAAATATGTTGTCAGTGCTAGGAATCCTGGGAACACCCCTAGTAGTGAGTACTTCCATCTCTGGTGAGTGGGAGAATGGGGCTAGCATAGAACCACGGGGAAGCCAAACATGTGTGTGGTCCCAGTTAATGCAGGCCACAGCCCATGTAAACTTTCTAGGCCTTGCAGAGAGAAACCATTCATGAAACATGATGAAAATGACATTTAGCCTTTTCTGGTAGCATTCAGCTCTTGGTAGGTCCACAAATTAAGATTCTGTGAATCTATATTTTCCACTAAAATGCAAATTAGGAGTCTTCTGATATGAAAAAACTAAAATTTATTGAAGAACAAATACAAGCAAAGCAATAAGAAATAAGTCATATGAAGTTAGCATGGCTTTAGTATTCAAATCTTCAATAAGCTCTCCTTCACATACATTGAATTCCAGCATAAGGAAATTGTGAAACTGCTTGATGAAAATTACCTCTGGGTATTTATTTAGCAGAAAACAAAATATAAAGAAAACTGTTATTGACACTCTAAAATTATATAAATGCTCATGTTGTTCAGTTTGCCTGGAAACTGGGAAGATATTTTCAAATTGAGTTGCACAGAGATGTCGTTAAATGTGCGTGTGTAGGTGTTAGTGAGACTTGAACCAGCAAGAAAGGTTCTATATTCAAATGTATCATGATCATGAAATGTTTGTTTTCTTTGCTCAGGGACACTAGCACTGCTGCACAAGAGCCCTCTGAAACTGGAAGCAGATCTTCCATTAAACCAAGAACAAAGCTTTGCAAGTTTTCTTGTCACAATAGTCAGCCAAGCCTAAATTGTTTGATGCATATGAGTTGGCACCAGGATTGATCACTACATTACGAAGAAAGTAACACAATTGAGACATGTATTCTTAGCTGGAATTTCCTGAGGGTTCGCAGTGTGATGTTCCATTTACAGACTTTCGAGATCATTCACATGATCTGGAAGGAGACTAATTAAATGATAAAATGTGATAATCTTAACTGCACTCACTGCTCCAACAGCTGGTCAAAATTATCCTCCAGTTGCATCGTCTTGTGTTTCAAGGTTTCAGGAATGGCATCACTATCCTCACTTTCTCCACTCACTGAGCTCACCTCCACATCTACCTTTTTATGTTGGAGTGCTGCACTCGGAACTGCGCTCTGCAGAAAACAAAAAAAAAAACTCTTTGAAATTCCTCAGTGCAACACATGATGTTGTTTAGATGTTTTTGGACAATGATATAATGGATCTTAAAACAGCTAAGAAAATACATTGGAAAGACAGTTATACAGTGCTTCTCAGATCTGAAGCACATTGCAAAAAGCATCACAATATATGAAATACTTTTAGAAATGTAGTGACTCTTATAATATTGGCAAAACTGCAATTGATTTGTGCACAACCATGCCACAGAAACAATAAGATGATGACCAGGTGAGTCATTTATTTGTCTAGACTTAATAATAGCCAGGTCACTGTGAGCATTTCTGTTTTTATTTAAGTAGTGCTTGGAATCTAACTGAGAACACAAATGAGATCTTTACTTAATGTTTAGCAGACTAACAAAGCAAATCCTTTGGAACATATCTCCTCAGAGGATGCTATATTGTTCTGGAACGGGCAGCACAGATAATGATGAGTGAAATGGAGTGGTTTAAACATTTTCAAATAATATTTCTGCTCCAAAATATTGGATATTTTGCCTTTCTTCAGGAGTATTCACACTGTCCTCAATGACATAGAAAAAAAATCAGGTCAAAGAAACTAACAACAAACTAATCCTGGAAAGTTGGAGATCCTCCAGTATCTTTTCACTTCAGTTCATAGAAAAATGCTACCTATATCCTGGATCATTCCAAAACAATTATACAACCATCAACCCTGCTGTTATTTAGCAATAATTTGCTTCTGGTTTCACAAAATCTCAGAATTAAACACCTTAAACTTGCATTTCAATCCCTCTGGACTCTTTCTCCCCTGGCCAACACCCAGTACAAAATCATCCACTAATTTGACATTTGTCAAACATTGGTTTGCTGTGCATTCTCCCCTCCATTCTTTTCTCCACTGGGAACTTAAGATTCCTTACATTGAATAATTTCCTCCCAAATATTCTCCTCTTGTTCAGCTCTCTCTCCTCTTTTAAGGATGTCTCTGAACTCCATCTCTTTAGCAAAACTTTAGGTACCTCTCCTGATATCTTTCTTTGGCCCAGTGTTCATTTTCTTTTCCTTTTCCAACACTGTGTGTTGAGTTGCTTTTCTATGTTGAAGGTGCTATATGATTTAAAGTAATGTCATTGCCAATATGAGGCACAGGGATGGAAATACACTGTGTATTCTTCCAAGTTGAGATTCAAAGAAGAGGAGCACGACTAACTGTAATTTGAGCTATACTGAGAGTTATTGATGCTCATTATGTGGAAAGGAATGAATGAGTCTTCCAACTCAACTCTAGTGTCCCTCAATATGGAAAATACAAGTCAAATACTTCATTTCATTACAGCAGTGATATGAATCTTACCTCAGGTTTGAGATTCTGAACTGTGTCTACAAGCCTATGTGGGGCTGGTGTTGGAGACTGAGCCATCGCTAACAGGGTTGGTATTGGAGTCTGGGGAGCAGGGACAGGCGTTACCCATGAGTTGGGTGTTAGGGACATATTGGGTTGATGATCTGTTGAGGAATGGCTCTCTGGACGCTGGTCAATTCGTTCCTTCAGATCCTCCAAGTGCATTCCAAGCCGAAAAATATTCCCTTCCACTTCCCTAGGAGGCAAAATGCATATTCCACAATTGATTGAATATTACATGAATGTGCCTTAGATATTCTATTTTGAAATGCTTGCCTTCGGCATTAATTTGAATTGCAAACTATAGTGTGAGAACTATTTTTGCAACAGAATTTCTGATACTGCTTCAATATTTTGCCAGACATAAATTAAGCTGTGCCTTGTGCTCACTATACATCCTATTCCACGCTGAATAAATTGGAATGTATCTGCATTTGAAGCAATAGTTATCCATTGAAGGTTCCTGAGATTTTTAAAATAGAATCTAACAGCACTTGGTGAAGCATTGAAATATTTTTAAAATTTTACTGTAGTGTGTGCAAATCACCATTCTCTATGTGAAAGTACATTTGCAATCATCTCACAAATCCCATGCTTGCGTTTGGGGAACATTTAATAGATTGGAAAGATTTTCTGCCAAACTGCAGTTCTAATCCTTTAAGGGTTACTTTTGTTGTCCAGTTATTGGTGCTGGTGAGCTAGAGGAGTAGACAGCAAGGGACTGAAAGATAAGAATGAATGCTGTGTTGCCTAGAACTCGACAAGAATCTATTCAGTTCTGAGGAACAGTCACCAGACCCGAAACGTTAACTCTGATCTTCTGCCCACAGATGCTGCCAGACCTGCTGAGCTTTTCCAGCAACTTCTGTTTTTGTTCCTGATTTACAGCATCCACAGTTCTTTCGGTTTCTATTCATAAGACCTAGCTTGATGGCCCTATCAAAGAATATATTCCCAAACACTTTTGCAAAGCCTTTAAATGCTTAAAAAGTGCTGGTTACATCAAAAACATATGGGAAGTTACATGTTCTTAGAAATATTGTTCAATTTGAAATTATGCAATTACTAATCCAATGAAAACTCCTAACAGGCTGCCTATTCTAGTAAGAGTTCACATTTTACAAAGTTTGACATCAGCCTAAACTCCACTTAAATAGCATTAAACATCTTACTCAGGCTTCTTTTCAAAATAAACAAACATTTTAATACTCTATACTTACCAATAATACATATGTTGTAAATATCTTATTTATTAATTTTATCTGGTATCATCTCGCATTGTTGCGTTTCAAGACTGACAATTAATTTAGAATTGCGTCTCTCCACTACCTTCATCCATATTAAACTCTTCACCTTGTAACTAGAATTGAGTGCAGAACTTTGCCTAACAATTTGCACAATCATGTTCTTTAGTTACCGGAACTCTATTCATGGTTTCTAGGAATAGAATAACCTCAATATTATCATAAAATTCACCAAAGTCACAATCATAGGGGCTTTTGGGCCATTTTGAAGGTTGATGTTCCATGTAGATTATGGACTTGTTAGCTGCTGTGGGCTGCATTCAGAATTACAGTACAATTATAATGCAAGTACAGTATAGCAGTCCTAATGTACACAGTTAGCTTTTACCCCAAAGTTTCTACTCCAGACAGAGAAACATTCTTCTTTGGACCATATAAAGGATGATTTTTGTCAGCCATCTAAACCTTATTATTAAGTGCTATCTTGCAATTTGATAAGGGTATCATGATCAAGTGCAAATTTGAAATTTCTATTGTTGTTATAGGCAAGTGCAGTGACACTTACAGTAGTCAAACAGGAGATTAATATGCATGCAGTATCTGCAATGATACATACTGGAAAAGGTGTCTGCAATTACTGTTTAGTTGCATGATCCCTCTTCCTCAATGATAGGTATAGCATTATGAATAGAGAAATGGCTGCTCACTATTCTGTGCAATACATTCACACTCATCAAAATCCCATTGTGACACCTAGTTCAATTTGTATTTCTCAAGAGCACCAATTTAATTTAGGCATGGTATCATTAAATGGTGCTACATGCCTGACTCCCAAAGTCAGAAAAATCAGCTGATATTCCAGATCTGTGTTCCTGCTCCAAATACTGATGGATATCCTAAACCTCTGACATGTTATGGGCTAAGAAATTCAATCCTGCCTTGTCTTTACCATGATGTTTCTGAACAGAAATTGGAATGGATCCATTTACCGGTTAGGATCAAATTCCCCAATAATGTAAGAGTTGCCGCAGGCATCCTTGAGTTGGAGCCCACGATGCTCTTCTCGGGAGTGTAGATATCCTCTCTCCAGTGCATCCTGACCTTTCTTCAACCTCTGTAGTGCCTGAAATAAGCAACGGAAATGAAAATGAGAAAATAAGTGCTTACTACCTACTACCAGCTTACTGCCCTCCCATGCAAAAAGTCCAGACATCTGATATATTTGAATCTTGCAATTTTCATAAATGCTGTCATCATGATTACCTGCGTTTTGAATGAATTGTATTTAAATAAGCAAATAAAAATACTGAGATTAGTCCAGCCTAGTTAAACATAATGTGCTAATCCCAAGAGACAGGACTCCAAAATATATTTTAAAGTTGTAACTTTTTTAAATTCTCTTATGGAACGTAGGTGTCACTGGCTGGCCAGCATTTATTGCCAGTCCCTGGCTGCCCTTGAGAGGATGGTGGTGAGCTGCCTCCTTGAATCACTGCAGTTCATGTCCTGTAGATAGACCTACAATGCACTTTGGGAGGGAATTTGTATATAGATTACATACAATCTCATTGTTAGTCATTTGTTCAGGTAATTTACAGTGTCCAGCAGGAGATACTTTTGAAAGTATTCAGCCTCTATTAGTTACAATGAATGCCACCCCTGCAACTCCTCATATACAACCTCTGAAAAGTGAAATAGTTTACACAACTGAACAGGAAACCTCGCTTGAATCTTTGAAAAAATGCAATCACACAATCATTAGCTCAAAGATTTTTTTTTTAAGTTCAGAGGTCATAACAACTGTTCTTGAAGCTTAAAATCAAAATATTGCCAGTGTCTGTAAAACTGCCAGCAGTCTCCAGGAAACATTTTCTTCACCTTTTAATAAACATTCAATTACCCCTTCCCTGCCTAATACTTGTCAACATTATCAGATGCTCTCTCTCCTCAGCTACTGTTCCAACTTTTCAAAGCCGCTTCCATCATCTCACAGCTTAAACCTTCAACTCTTTCATCCTTTCCAACTATTGCACATCTTCAACATCCCTTAATTTTGAGATTCTGGAACCACTTCATTTCCTGCTCACCCATTATATCATTATCTGCTCCAAGCTCTCAGATTTGCTTTGTCACATTGATATATGATTTTGGACGACTTAGTTTTGAATTCCATCATCTGACTTAATGACACGGAACTTGTATGTACTGGAATGGTTTCAAAAAAAAAGGAAAGAAAACATTGACTTAAATTGATCACATACATTATCTGACCACATGTCAACATGAATTGGACAATATGAGGTAGGATGAAATTAACATTAAAATTAACATTTTATCCAAAGACAACAAAGCCAGCCAGCAAGCAAGCACCCAGCCCAACCCCTGACAGGATTGAAAAGTCCCTCATCTTCTAATTTTGTTTTGTTTTGAGACTGATGATGAGAACATGACCTGCAATAATGAAGCTTAGAGCCAATGAACTCAGACACAGAAATTAACAAAGAAGCCTGTATTTCAAATAGCTGCTTGTGGTAGAAAGAGGAAGGTGGATTTTTGAGTACAGAACTAAAACCAATTTTGCTTCTTAAACTAAAATTCTGAAGCATATTTTCACTTATGGGCTGTCAAAAGCAACAATCCCTCTGGACTCAGCCAATAATCAACCATGGTTCAGTTGGAAGGACACTCATCGCTGAGTCAGAAGGGTCCAGGGTCCAAGTTCCATTTCATGACTTAAGGATAAAAATCAAGCCTGACATTGAAGTGTCGAACTGAAGGAGTGCTGCATTGTTGGACATATAATCTTATAGAAGAGACATTTAACCGCAGACCATATCCTACCCCTGAGGTGATGGTAAAAGAACCCACGTTACTATTTGGAATAACTGCAGGGGAATTATACTTTATGTCCTGGCCTATATTTACACCTTAATCAACATCACACAAAAAGACTGGTCCTGCTCACATTACCATTTGAGGGAACTTGCTGTGTTTCCTGCACTGCAACAGTGCTACAACAGTACCTCATTGACTGCAATTTGCTTTGAGACTTCTTGTGGTCATGAAAGCACTTGTGCATGCAAGTCTTTCCTTCTTTTAGTCTGGAGAGATCTAACCCTTAGGAATTCAAAATAATCCTGCTCATTGACAATGAATGTGTGGTATTTCTAGTACAGAGTGCCTATGTTTTATAAACATTTTACCTCCAAACATGTTCAACAACACAGAACCATTCACTTTGTAATAAAGATTGGTCTTTAACCAATATATCTACATTATATTTCATCCTTTAACAACTGGTTGTTGTTCATATCACTTTAGCATTGCCATCCAGCATTCTGCAGATGTTTACATTCAACAGCAGAAGAAAGTGAAAAGAAAGTTTAGCTTTCAATTCCATTTCTGTTTCAAAACTCACCTGATCATTAGAGGGGCTGAATGCAGTTACTGTGAAATTGTACAACACGCAGTTCAGGCTGAGCAGTGGTTCAGGCTCCTCAGCCACTTACCTTTTGTTGGGCAACTGGTGCTACTTTCCTTGCCTTAAGCAACCCTTCGAATCCATCCATCTGTTGGAGGGAAAGAAACCACAAATCCATATGTCATTTAGACAGATTAATTGAAATATACAAGACAAATAAAGACAAGGTGGTTGTCATGAGATGGAATAAGATGGTGGTCAACTTTGACTGGGCACATTTTAACAAAAGACACCCTCTTTCTCTTCAGTGTCCTATTCTGGATGGTTGCAGTTTAAAAATTCTTTCATGGGTGTCGCTATTTGTTGTCCATTCCCAATTACCCTAGAAGTGAGTGATTTGTTTGGCCTTTTCAAAGGGCTTTGCTGGTGGTCAAATTTCTTTCACCTGGGACCCTGAAAGTGAGCAGAGAAGGGAAACGTTTAAGTTGCTATTGCGCTCTGAAATACAGTCCTTGGGCTTAATATTCAGTTTCACCAGCTGGACATGGAATTGGTGAAGCCGATCACCCAGCGGTGACTAATATAGTCTCCATTTCAGAATAAAATTGAAAATAGGAAGGTTCAATAAATGAACACATGATTCGCTGATTACCTCACCTACAATTGAAGGAGCATTAGTTTTGAATAGGTAACCACTGTCCACAATGTGCAAGAATAAACCCTTCAGTACTTTTTTAATTGTGCTTTTCTGTTTTTGCTTTATCCTACATTACAACAGTGACTCCAATTCAAAAAGACTTCATTGGCTGTACATGACTTTGAGAATGGGTTAATCTGACATCAGTCGCAGGGAAAATACTAGAATCCATTATAAAAGCATTAAGAGCACTCAGCAAACAGTGACAGGATTGGGGACAGTCAGGACAGTTTTAGAAAAGGGAAATCATGCTTGACAAATCTACTGGCATTTGACGAGGATGTAACTAGTGGATTTGATAAGGGAAAGTCAGTGCATGTGGTTTACTTTGACTTTCAGAATGCTTTCCATAAGCTCCCACACAGGAGATTAGCATGTACAATGCACATGGGATTGTGGGTAGTGTATTGATATGGACAGAGAAAGGGTTAACAGACAGAAAACAAGGAGTGGAATAAAACAAAAACCTGCAGATGCTGAACATATGAAACACACAAAACAGGTATTGCTGGAGAAACTCAGCAGATGTGGCAGCATCTGTGGAGAGGAAACACAGTTAACTTTCGAATCCAGTGACCATTCTTCAGAAAGCAATAGGAAAAAATGAGTCTTTTTCCTTCTTTCACGGGCTGTGACTAGTGGGATCCAACTATTCACAAAATATTGATAATTTAGATAGAGGAACTAAACGTATTATCTCCAAGTTTGCAGACGACACAAAGCTGGTTGAGAGCCTGAACTGTGAGGAGGATGCAGAAGTGTTTCAGTGTGATTTGGATTTGAGTGAGTGAGTAAATGTACGGCAGATGAAATATAGCATGGATAAATGTGAGGCAGCAAAAACAGGAAGGTACATTATCGTTTGAGTAATGGTAAATTGGGAAAGGGGGAAGTGCGATGAGATTTCGATGTCTTTTGACAGCGGTCGCTGAAAGTAAGCCTGCAGCTGTAGCAGGCAGTGAAGATGACAAATGGTATGTTGGCCTTCACAGTGAGAGGATTTGAGCACAGGAGCAGGGCTATCTTGCTGCAATTGTACAGAGACTTGGTGAGACCTCACCTAGAGTATTGTGTGCAATTTTGACGTCCTTATCTGAGGAAGGATTTTCTGACTATGGAAGGAATGCAACAAAGGTTTACCAGACTGATTCCTAAGGTAGCTGGACTGGGTGTATGAAAATAGACTCACCAGTGAGGACTACAGTCACTAGAGTTTAGAAGAATCGGGGGAATCTCACAGAAACCTATAAAATTCTAACAGGGGTAAATGCAGGAATGTTTCCAATGACCAGGGTGTCCAGAACCAGAGATCAGAGATCACAGTTTAAATATATTGGGTAGTCCATTTAGGACTAAAATGAGGATAAATTTCTTCATCAACAACATGTTGGGCCTGTGGAATTATCTGTTACAGAAATCGGTTCAGGCCAAAAAATCTAATAGTTTCAAGAAAGCGTTAGATATACTTCTTAGCGCTGAAAGGATCAAAGGGTCTGGGGAGAAAACAGGAACAAGGTAATGGGTTGGATGACCAGTCATGAACGTATGGAATGATGGAGCAGGTTCAAAGGGCCAAATGGCCTATTCCTGCTTCTATTTTCTGTGTTTCCATGAGATAACCAGAGATCATAAAAAGCAGGAAATAAACGCAGGTCCTTCTTGTTCCTTTATTTCTGCTTCTTGAAACACCTATACTTTCTAAAAGCTATTTCAAATATGCTCATCTATTGTAAGACAGTTACTAAAAAATAAAAATTGTTAGTCTGCTTTCAATGGAAATTCTTTTAATGGATGTTTCACTCAAAGTCAAAAAGGAACTGATACAGCATAGGCATCGTAGGTTCAAATATCTTAATTGATGATAGAATGTTGGAATTTTGAATATTTAATGCGAGTGAAATGATTATTGCCATGTTACTTTTAGTATTGTGGCAAGAAACATTGTTACATCATTTGCACTCACCTGCTTTTGCAGTGCCTCTGCCTGTTGGGCTAGGGCCCAGGTCAGACACTCCCCTGCTGTAGGCTCCACAATAGATGGACCTTGCGTCGAAGGCAAAGTGGTACCTGATGTACTGGCAACTTCCATTTCTTCACCATTTTCTGTTACTGAGAGACATTCTGAAAACAGAATTCAGGCAAAGAACTCATTACCTCTACATTAATTCCTTTAACAGCAACAATGATGTTAAAAAAAGATGGTATTCCAGCCATGCTTGGTTCAGGAGACTTTCCAGGAACTGGGGTAAGTTCGGCAATTGACAACTAGAGAGAGACAATGGCATAGCGGTAATGTTTCTGGCTTGATGTTGTGAGGTCAAATACCATCAGATGGCAGGATTTGGATTTAATAAGGGGAGTCACAAAGCAGGAACATTATGTGAGGTGACATATTGCTGAGCCTACAACTGGAATTTAAATGCTATATATCTAGTACAGTAGTCCAAAGATTTCCCCAAGGCTCCATTTGCCATGGGTCCTTTTCAGCTGAATCAGGTTATAGGAATTGTGCAAAGCATATCCATGTAACAATGTTGGCTTAGTTTCAGATGTGGGTTGAGTTAAACCATGCCTTGAGCATAGTTAATGGCCAGGACTGGGAGCTCAATAATTGGGACCCAGGGCTATAGGCGGCCTGCTCTGGTTGGCCTGGGGACTGGGGAGCAGCACGGAATCCACGAGTTCTGTCCCTGCCCCTGCCCCTGACACCAATTACCACTGAAAGAGGACCTCAGTATCCATCAATCTCAAATATTCACTGTCTTAATAGAGCAGAACATCAAGGTCTATGGCTAAGAATTGTGTACTCAGTAGATAACAGATTTACACAAAGCAGTGTAAAACTGAAATTACTCTTTGTGTAAAGGCAATGTATGCACTTGTAAAGCAACCGCTTTTTTAAAAAAATCACCCTTTTTTCCCCTCTGGCAACATGTCACAATGATGTTGGTAATCAGATTTTCCATACCTGTTTGGGAGAAGTTAACTTCTACAAATTTCTATGGAGAGCAAAGCAGCAAAATGAAACCGACTTCCATTCAGCTTTGGCACTTAAAGCATCTTTAGTCTGCCTGTTTACACTCAATTATGCCTCCACTCACTTAAGATATGCAGTGTACCTTGAATGAAGAACATAGGCAAGGACCACTTGCTGAGAGATTTAGTGAATTCTATTGTGAAAGCTTTATTGCTCTCTATATGCAATTGATTTAATGGGGACTCTCAATTTGGAACAGCAGATGATTCCATCTAAGTTGCCCACACACAGCAAATCACATTAAAGAATTCTCACAACCAACAATAGAATGGAATAGAAAGCATTAAAGTCAAATTGTTTTTAAAACATTCTACAGGAAGCAAAGGTTTTGGCACTCATGGATGGAGGTAGAGCAGAAGTAGTGAAAAAAATTTGCTTAAAAAATTAGTTTAAAAATATCTAGTAATTAACATAGCAGATATTAAATAACATTCCACAACTGTAAAATAATTTTGTTCCAGGATCAGGTAAGTTCATTAAAGCTATGACACAAATCATTGATTAAAAACTCAAGTTACATTTGATTGGACAAGATGCAACTTTTGATGGAGTTTCCAACAGGGAATGCGATCGTCATTGGCTTGGCCAGCATTTATTTATCCCTATCCTACTACTCCTTGTACCCTGTCCTATTTGCAAGCTCTAAAAGTATGTTGTATTGGGCAAAGGTTGTTTGAGGTAGTTCTATGCCATGAATCCTCCTCTGTCTTGAGCCTATCTAGCAATGGTGATTGTGAAGGCACCACCATAGAGTATCTATAGAAGAGTCTACCTCATTGATGTGCACCTTGAGTCATATGTAGACCAGGCTTGGTCAATATTTGATCTCTTAAAGGCCTTAACTGGGGGCAGAGCAAGAGGTAGCAGATGCAGATAGCTATCTCCCTGATGCCAGTCTGACTGATTATGTGCTCTTTCTGCAATCTTTCATGCCCATACTCCAGAGTGGGAGATTGCACCTGTAGATGATGTTTTTGTTTTCCTCATTATAATGGATCGGGTCATGTCTGGGTCTGTGGAACAGAGCTGCTCTCATTGTTTCATCCCATGCAGTGAATAGAGAACTCACTGTTCCTTGTACAAGACTTTGATCCAGACTGTGCCTCGTTTTGGTCTCCTCACATCGGCAAGATAATTTGGGCTTTGGAAAAGGCGCATCGGAGAGTCTCAATTAATCCCTAGTTTAAAGCAACTTGGTATCCAGATAAGTTAAAAGAGCTGGATCTGTAAATTTTAGAAAAGTAAAGAAAGGAGCAATAACATTTTTATTAACAAAATTATGATTTTAATGGGTTAATGTGGGCCCATTGGGCAGCATCACACTCTCTAGGGGCAAAGTTAGAGACTGGATGGTAGGTAACTTCCCTTTCCCAGACAGTAATGGAAATGTAAAGCTGGTTTCATGTTCATGCTGTGTCTTCTGATTGCTGTATTGCATTGAAAGAGACTGAATTCTGGCTAGGGTGAAGATCTGCTCTTGCAAGGGATAGATATCCTGTGACACTGTCTCCTAGACTAGTTTAAACCAGCGAAATGGGTCAAAATCAAACTTTCCGGATCTTTTGCTCAAACTATCCTCAGCTTTATTTGGTTTTGTTTTTAAATCTTTCTTGGGATGGAGTTGTGAAGATCTGTGGACGGTGGGGAAGGAGTGTGTCTAACTCACAATTACATGGGATAAGCTAGATAGCCCAGCCAGTCTATTCCTGCCCATTATCTCTACTTGTCATAACAGATTTCTGCTCGCAAGAATTAACTATCCTTTAGAGATCGCAATATAATCTCCACACTAAGACAGTGCCATAGAAGTGGAAATATTAAACTGAAAATTAAAGGGAACAAAATAAAACTTCTAGATCAAAGATTTAATTTTCCACGTGCATCTGACAGATGATAATGCTGGAGAGGGAACAGAATATTTCCCACTTCAGATGTCCATTGTCACCAGAAAGCCATACAATCCAATAAAGAGTCAAGCTTCCTTCACTCTGCCCTAATCACAGAAGAATATCCCTACAACATACCAGTGTGGCAATACTTCCATTTGCTACGACTCTCATCCTGTTAAGGTGATATTGCCAATTCATGTCAGGTACTAATTTGGGACACTTTTGTCTGATTGTGAACTAAGATTCATGAAGCCCCCTTTCAACAGCACAAAGGTAATCATTTAACCCTGGTCCTGATTTTTGTGATTTTTTTTTCCCCAGATTACTACGCCTTGTACCCTGTCCTATTTGCAAGCTCTAACAGTATGTTGTATTGGGTAAGGGTTGTTTGAGGTAGTTCATTGCCATGAATCCTCCTCTGTCTTGAGCCTATCTAGCCAATGGTGGTTGTGAAGGCACCACCATAGAGTATCTATAGAAGAAGCACTATTCTTAGATAACAAGAAGAATCGTTGCATAATAACAGTAAAGTTGAACTATTTGGATGGGTGTAATTACAAGGCAGCTGTTAAAGATATATCTGCTTCCTCCAAAACCTCGAGCAGATTTCTGTGTCTCCACCTGCAGGCTGTGTGTGACATCTATAGAATGGGTGAAGCAATGTAGCATGACTATTAAGTCCTTCAGAACTGTAACCTTAAACAACAATTTCAAACTAAATCCCAAAACTTTAAAGTCAATGCTTCACCCACTGCCCCACCCACTTCTCAAAAAGATTGTTTCTAAAACTACAGTTTTCACCAGACTTTCAGTATTCTAAACAAAAAATGAAAAATCCACAGAACTGTGGATTCTGGAAATCAGAAACAAAAAACAGAAATTGCTGAGAAAACTCAACAGGTCTGGCAGCATCTATGGAGAGAGAGTAGAGTTAGCATTTTCGGTATAGTGACCTGAAAGGTTTACTCTGTTTTCTTTCACAGATGCTGCCAGACCTGCTGAGTTTTCCCTGCAATTTCTGTTTTAGTTTCAGTATTCTAAAGGATCTTAGTGTCATAATGGAGCCTAAGTGAGTAATGATAGAAATACAAGGCCACAGCAACAACATGGACAATTCAGAGTGCACTAGCAGTTAAAAATCTTCATTTTCCTTTGTGTTTTGATACTATTGAGATTATTTTCCTCAGATGGTTTAAAGCAAAGAAGTTTTATTAGTTACCTGCTTGTACACTGGCATTCACAGGTGGGCCAATTTCAGCTCTTTGTGCATGTGGGATGGTAAATGTCATAACCTTTGAACCCTGGCTAAGTGATGCCATTTGGACACTCTGACTTGGTTTTGGAGGGTCAGCATAGAGGTTCACCTGAGTAAGAAGACATAATGCAAATAAGAACAGATCTTTGTGAATCTTTTTCACTTAAACTATTACAATATGATAAAAACAGAAAAACTAAAACCAACTTGCAGCAAGAGACATTTCTTTTTAGTTGTTCCACTCATGAACAAAACCAAAAATATTGCAGTAAGTGTGTAGCCTATTCTCTGGTCTCTACATTTCAGTGCAGTACAGAGGGACAGCTGCAAAGTTGGAGTTGGGACTGTTGCAAATGAGATGTTAAACCAAGTTCACTTCTCCTGTTCAGGTGGATGGAGGAGGTTCCAGGGCACTATTTAAGGAAGAGAAGGGAAGTTTTCCCCAGGTTCCTGGTCAACATTTTTCTCCCAAACAAAATCTATAAGACAATGCGAGACCAATTTTCAAATGTTCGTTCAGGTCTATGAAATTGGAAAGATAGCCAAGATGTGCTCTTGAAATGCTGTTTTCATCCACATTTAGGGCAAGCTGCCATCTTGGTAAAGGAGTTGAACTGTGCACCAGAAACAGCTACCCAAAGCATTATTAGATAGCTGATTACCAATTAAATTGTTTGCAAACATTCATTAATAAGGCTGGAAGATCTTGTATTGCAGTTTTAGAACCCCATCGCTCGGATACAAGGTCTGGGTTCAGGTCTGCCATGGAGGTGTGTAAATGCATGTCTGGATAAGTTGATTAAGAAATAATTTTATTTTCATTAATGAGGCTGCATGGCATGTTGGTAGTTAGCACTTGTCTTAATGGCCTCGCCTGACAGCAACCAGCTGATTGGAGGAAAACAGACTGCTGCTGAAGGTTTCCAGTGCTACCCAAAGATACATCATCATTCATGTTTATCTGTTTATGGTGTTGCTGGAGGTTTGTACAGGAACTCTGAAACACCACAGGGGACTTTCTGGGAAATTATGTTGAGACTTTACCTAAATGATCAACATTTCTTCTGAAAATCCTCTGAGGATTTCACTTGATTTATTGTCACGTGTACCTAAGTACAGTGAAAGCCTTTGTTTGCAAGCAGTAAAGGCAGATCATTGCAAGCAAGGACATATAGATCATAGGGTGAAAAACAGGATGTGTGCTGGGCAAGATCAACATTAACAAGATGGGCAGTATTTGAAGCTAGAAAGTCCATTCATCAGTCTAATAACGGCAGTGAAGAAGCTGTTTTTGAACCTGCTGGCCAGACACACTAGTCACCCTATTGTACATCAGAGACATATCAGAGATGACCACAAGACTACTCCCAGCCCTAGGTATCAGTGTATCCCACAAACCAACAATCATACTGCGACAGCTACAGATGAACGTAAAGGATCCCATACCCACAACCAATAAAACCAATGTAATATACAAAATATCATGCATGGACTGTGAGAAACATTACATCGGCCAAACTGGAAGCAAACTGACAATAAGGATACACGAACGCCAATTAGCCACCAAGAGACATGACCAATTCTCACTGGTCTCAATTCACACGGACAAAGAAGGACACAAATTTGACTGGGACAACACATCCATAATAGCACAAGCCAAACAGAGACATGCCAGGGAATTCCTGGAGGCTGGCATTCCAACCAGAACTCCATCAACAAACACATTGAACTGAAACCAACATACAAACCACTGAAAAACAGAACCAGAAGTAATGCTAACCACCCCAGCAAACCGAGCTTTATAAATAACAAGCCGGACAGAACACCAACGTTTCACGGGAAGCGCACTGATGATGTTACCTAGCAGGGTGATGAAACTTGTGCAACCAAACACAACAGCTCGGCGAGCATGTCTACAACCTTATTCACAACTCAAGCTACAAATCTTCTCTAAAACTTTAAGACTATTGTGTTTATCAAAGAGTATACAAAAAATGGCTAATGGGAGGTTATTTTGCACATCATACACAGCACTGCATATTCTTCATTTTTCCTTGACATTTATGAAATAAAAATTGATCAATCAAACTTCTTCCCCCCCCTTCAAATGCCAATAGGGCATTGTGGCACAGATTATCCCTAGAGGTCAGTGAGGGACTATTTGAAAGGTTATTTCTAGGCTTACACAAAATTCACAGAGTGCACCTTCATCCCAGGCTGTAATGTGGTAAATGAGGAGTTAAGCACCCATCTGAACATCTCCTGTTTACCAAAGGCAAGGTAGCACTGTACCACAATTACAAAGTCCACCTGCCACCCAGTACAGGAACTGAGTTGTTGCCTAGTGACTGATTCCTTTTGTTTCAACTGCTAAATTACTCCACTTTTCACCCTTTATTTCCCCGGCTGATAAAATATGCTACAACTGATTAATTATGGCAGTGGCCGGGTCTCAAAATTATGTGCAAAGGGAAATAAATTTATCCTTCACTCATGTAATGTTACTGAGGCAGCTGTATACAAGTGATTCAAAGGAAGAATTTGGATTATGCCTCTGAGCCTTAGCAGTACAAGGGTAATATTGCCCTGAAGAATCAAAGCACTAAACATAAGTCTACCATTCTTCTTCTTACACATTTCCATAAAAATAAATGGAGAACTTGATGTTGAAATTTGCAAAGGTTTACAGTTGGAGATTTAACACAGAGCAGTAGTGGGATTCACAAGAAGAAATATGTTATTTGAATCTTTGAGGAATACAAGAATAATATAGCACGAAACAGGCCATTTAAGCTGACAAATCTGCACTGGCTCTTTTGAAAAGTGTTGCTAGGCCACACTTGTCCTTATGTTTCTGCACTGTTTTCTTCTTCAAGTAGTTATCGAATTTGTCTTTAAAGGATTTTACTAAATTTGTCTCCACCACCTCATCACGCAGTGCATTTCAAATTCTAACTACTAATCCTAATTGTTTTGTAGAAAAGCTATTTCCCTTGGATTCTTTAAGCGATCACATTGGGTGGAATCTTGTTCAGGTATTGGGGGTCCTGCTGCTGGCTGGACAACCACCGAAACACCTACCCTGCCTCTTTATGGGATGATCCGCTGAACCAGAAGTAAATCAGGCAGTAGTGAGGACACTGGTGGGCCTTGCCCTGGAATTAGGACCGCACAGGCAGACGCATCACTGACCGAGAACTGCTGGTCACTCAGAGCTTGTGCTTAGCAGCAGCATTGGGAGGCTGTGGCTATCACTGAAAGAATACATACCAAATTCCCAAGATTGCCGAGTGACCCAAGCCCCAGGGAAGTGGAGGATTTCAAATATCCCCATCCTCCATGATGGAAGAGCCCAGCACATCAGTGCAAAAGACAAGACTGAAGCATTCGTAATAAACTTCAGCCAGAAGTGCCAAGTGGCTGATCCATCTTGGCTTCTCCAGTGGTCCCCAATAGCACAGATACCAGTCTTCAGCCAATTTGATTCACCCGACGTGATATCAATAAATGGTTGGAGACACTGGATACTGCAAAGGCTACGGATCCCGACAATATTCCGGCAATAACACTGAAGGCTTGTGCTCCAGAACTCGCCGCTTCCCTAGCCAAGCTCTTCTGGTTTCAGTTACAACACTGGCATCTAGCCGACAATGTGGAAAATTGCCCAACTATGTCGTGTACACAAAAATCAGGACAAATCCAACCTGCCCAATTACTGCCTTATCAGTCTACTCTTGATCATCAGTAAAGTGATGGACGGGGTCATCAATAGTGCTATCAAGCAGCACCTGCTCAGCAATAACCTGCTCAGTGACGCCCGGTTTGGGTTCCACCAGGGCCACTCAGCTCCTGACTGCATTACAGCCCTGGTTCAGACATAGACAAAAAAGAGTTGAATTCCAGAGGTCAGGTGAGTGTGACAGTCCTTGACATCAAGGCTGCATTCAACCGTGTGTGGCATCAGGGAGCTGTAGAAAAACTGGAATCTCAGGAACAAATGCTTGATGGTTGGGGTCATAACTGGCACATAGGAAGATGGTCGAGGTTGGTTGGAGGTCAAGCATCTCAGGTCCAGGACATCTCTGCGGGAGTTCCTCAGTGCAGTGTCTTAGGTCCAATCATCTTCAGCACCTTCATCAATGACCTTCCCTCCATCATAAGGTCAGAAGTGGGGATGTTCACTGACGATTGCACGATGTTCAGCACCATTCACGATTCCTCAGATATTGGGGCAGTCTATGTTCAAAAGTAGCAAGACCTGGATAATATCCAGGAAAGGGCTGACAAATGGTAAACAACATTCACACCACGCAAGTAATAGGTAATGACCATCTCCACCAAGACAGAAAATAACCATCGTCATTTGACAATCAATGACACTGCCATCATTGAATCTTTGACAATCAACATCCTGGGCGTTACCATTGGTCGAAAACTGAATTTCACTAGTTATATAACGCAGGGCAGAAGCTAGGAAAACTGCACCAAGTAACTCATTTCCCGATTCCCTAAAGCCTGTCCACCGTCTACAAGGTGCAAGTCAGGAATTTGATGGATGAGTATAGCTCCAACAACACGAAAGAAGATTGACAGCATCCATGACAAAGCAGCCCGCTTTATTCGCATCACATCCACAAATATTCAGTTCCTCCACTACCAATGCTCAATAGAACTACAGAAATTCACCAAGGTTCCTGAGATAGCAACTTCCAAATCCACAATCACTGCCCTCTAAAAAGAAGGATAGCAAATACATTACCACCTGCAAGCTTCCCTCCAAGCCATTTACCATCTTGACTTGGAAATGTATCACTGTTCCTCCAGTGTTGCTTAGTCAAAATTGTAGACTTCCGTCCCTAAAAGGCATTGTGGATCTACCTACAACAAATGAACTACAGTGCTTCTAGAAGGCAGCTCAGTGTCACCTTCTTAAGAGCAACTAGGGATAACACGATTCCATTAGAAAGTCATAAAACCATCAAGGCAACGAAGCAGCCATGGAAACAAACAGCAATACCTTGACATTGGGAGAAGGACTCTCCTTAATCTGTTCCAATCTGAAGTTTACTTGAGAACAAACGTCCTAGAAATCTGACTACAAGGAGCCTC